TTTGGTTCCTCTTTTTCCTTACTGGGTGTGTTACGAGGTGCTGGATTCTTCCTGGCTGGCAGACTACCCTTTCATTTTTGTTGGAAGTGTGGCATGCATTCTGTCGAACCTGCACACTTGAGTAGCGGGAGTTGACTCTAGTCATTCAGGTTTACCTGGGGTGGGGGTGGGGGGAGTTTGAGCATCTATATGCATGCTTGTTCGCCCCCTGTTCTTCCTCGTGATATATTCATGTGTAGGTTCCCTTCCTTTCGGCATCCCTGGTGGCCAAGGATTTGCGCGCCCGTGGGCATTTGACTTCGGTCTTGTACTTCTTTTCTCTGCTGGAACTGTCTTCGGACTGGCTCCAGCAGGAGCTGTCTCTGTTCTGTGCTTAACGCCTCGCGTAACGACAGGTGGTGCTCGTCTACTCTTTAGAATCCGCTTGGGCCCTGGCTCTTAGATTCTCGTCCCCTTTGTTTTGGTGGGACCACCATTTTTGGAAAATGCACCACCGATCTGCGGTGATGCATTTTCTGTAGGCGGCTTCATCTAGTTGCCGGCCTATGTCGGACTTGTTGGTTCTCTGGGGGGAAAGGGGGGAGGCATGGTGGTCCTGGCCGGAAGGGTCGTGCCAGGGCTCGGGGTTCCTTCGGTCATTGTAAGCTAGTTGTGCCAGATTCGGGGTTAGCCCCTCCTGTGGAGCCGTCAGCGTCTGGTCGTCGCAGTGAGTGCTCTGAGTGTCAGTTGGGTTCTTGTAAGGGTCGTCGGCCCTTTCATGGTTCGCCCCGTTGATGGGGGGATGGGGGAAGGCTCGTGCTGTTTGCTTTCTCTTGGTCCCACGATTCGTGGGTGTTTCGGGTAGTTTCCCCCGGTCTGTGTTGGCGTTGTATGGCTTCTCTTTTCAGGGGGATCAGGGCTGGCAGGGCAGGACCTCTTCCTCTGCGCTCTGTCAGGTCATCCTGGAGTGGGTTTGCTTGGGCGTGGTTGAAATAACTGCGTCCCCCAGGTGGGTTTCCAGCCTGTTTCCAGTTCCGAAACAGGACTGTGCGGACCTACGGTTCATTCTGGAGTTGTCCCCTCTGAACCCCTGGGGTCTTTTGCCTCTCCTTTCGGATGACCACTCTGTCCCAGGTCTGGCTGCTTTTGGAGCCGGGCGCTTGGATGGTGTCCTTGGATCTCCAGGACGTGTATTGGCACATCCTGATTCATCCGGAGTTCAGTGACTGGCTCGGTTTTTTCGTAGGGCTACAGGCTTACTGTTTTCGTTACTTTCGTTTCAGCTTGAATCTGGCACCTCGAGTACTTACATGCCTTACCCTGGTCGCGGTAACCAGTTTGCGTCTGTTAGGGGTTTGGGTTCTGGCTTACCTTGATGACTGGCTGGTCTGGGCTCCCAGCCAGTCTATGTGTCTGCTGGCCCAAATGTACTTTCACAAGTACGTAAGCTGGCGTACTTTCCCAGCTTGCCGGGTTTAAGTTATTGGTGAACTGGAGGAAATCCCATTTGGTTCCCTCTCAGGTTTGGACTTGGCTGAGTCTTGTGTGGGACTCTCAGACCACTGAACAAATGGTCGGTAGTCTCAGACCACCTCTTGTCTCTCCTTCCCGCGGCGTTGCTGCGGCTGCAGTTCCGCTTTCAGTTTTTGGAGGGCACCTGGGTCATGCGTTGTTGTTCGAGCAACTGTACAAGAGGCTGAACTTCGCCATGCTGGTCTACTCGTCAGGTCGAATCTGCCTTTGGCGGCTGTTCTCATTCCTTCAGGGACATACCTTCCGCCGTTCTCGCGATTGCTGGGTTCGGACCCCGGGGTCCATGCATGGGCTGCTGCGTCACCAGCTTCCTCTGGGGTTTTCAGGGTTCTGTGCTGTGCCGCTTACCCGAGCCCTCGCTCGATGTGTTCACGGATGCCTCGTCTCTCACTGGGGCTTTGTGACCAGTACTCACCAGGCCGGCCAGGGTCGGTGGGGTCCGTCCTTCTGTTGGGCTCACAGCATGTTGTGGGAGTTTGCAGCGGTGTGACATTCGCTTCAGATGGTTCGCTTTGCTTGCGGATTGACGATCCGGCTCCATTCGGACTGCTCCTCTGTTGTTCACTGTCTGAACAGCAGGGGTTCGATGCGGTCTTTGGCTCTTTGGGTTTGGTCACTTCGGGTGATTCATCTGCTGAGTTCTCGGGGTTTGGACTCCTGGCGGTTTATGTCCAGGGAGTGTCCAATGGCTTGTCCCATTTCATTCCCCTGTTCACGGAATGGACGGTCGATGCCAACTCGTTCAGTTGGCTCTGCCAGACATTCGGGTGCTTGGAAGTGTGGACCTCTTCCCCTCAACCAAGCCGATGCTCTTTCCGGTGTATGCGGTGCCCTTCCCCGACTGCAAGACCGTTGGGGGTCAATGCCGTTCGAATAGACTGGTCGAGGTGGGGTTACCTGTACCTCTTCCCACCGGTTCATTTGTTGCCCCAAATCTTGGCTTGCTTGGAGACTTACCAGGGGAAGGTAGTCCTGTTGGCCTCTTGGTGGCCGGCCCAGCCCTGGGGCTAGATTCACGAAGAAGTTATGCAAACACTTATGGACCTGAACATATTTTCTCAATCTTTGGCGGCTTTGTTTACAATTATTAAACAGTTAATGAGCTCCGAAGCACCAGGAGGCTGTTTATAACGATAACAACAGTTGATTTTAATAAATGTAACCAAAGCCATCAAAGATTGAGAAAAGAAGTACACGTTCGTAAGTACTTGAGTAACTGCTTCGTGAATCTGGCTCCCTGGTTTCAGGCACTGCTTGCTCGGAGTCCGAACCCAAGGGTCTTCCCGCTGCTCTGCCTCTTTCATCAGATCTGTCCAGTTCAGTACGTAGCTGGTTTGATCATCTTCTCTGGTTTCGCGTTTGGTCTTTTTGACGTTGGTTTATCACCACTTGTATGGAGATCAGTTGCCTCGTTGATGGTGTCTTACCTGCGAAATTCATCTCGGCAGCAGTATGAAGGTTCCTGGCGGTCCTTTCGGCAATTTTTGTCTCTTCGTAGGTTCTTTTTGATTTATGATCGGATTTTGGCTTTTCTCTCCTCCGGCGCAGGGGTTTCTGCTCTTTCGGTCCTTGTGGTCGGTTTGTTCGTTTGCAGCCGTCTCCTTTTTTTCTGCTGAAGAATGAGACTGCTGCTTTCCCGAGGGGCCCTTAGGTTGTTGATGCTTGGTTGGTTCAACCGGGGATACATCATGTTTTGTGTTCGGTGGCGGCTCTTTGCCATTACAGTACTGTACTTGCGCGCCACGGCCTCCGTGGCAGGGAGCACGCTTTGGGTTGACCCAGCTTCCCTTCTTCTCTTGTTTCAAGGCGCGGGTCTCCCAGGTCATCTGCAGGACTATTCAACCCAACCAGCCTGCGGTCTATCCCCAAGCCCACAATGTTCGTAAGTTCGCAGCTTTGGCTGCTGTTTTTGGTACAGTGGTACCTCAGCTTACGAATTTAATCCTTTCCCAGATGGTTCGTAAGCAGAAAATTTGTAAGCCAAAGTGAATTTTCTCATAAGAAATAATGTAAATTGAATTAATCCGTTCCACACCCCCCCAAAAATTAACTTCAAAGTTAATTTTATACCTAATTCACCCAACTCTTCAGAACTGAAGTATGTACAAATTATTACTTACCTTTACTGATGACTTGTTGGCGTATGGAAGACGGTGAGGAGGGGGAGTAGGAGAGGTGTTTGTGTTTGGAAGGGGAGTCCCCTTCCATTATAACATCAGGCAGTGATGACTTTTCTGAGGTACTCTCTCTCCTACGTTTTGCAGGCTTACCACTAGGACCTGCTTGTGGCTCACTGCTTGATTTTCTCACTATAAAACGATCCATAGAGAATTGTTTTTCTCTTTGTTGTAACACTTGTCTGTAGTGAGGCATCACTGTGTCATTAAAAAAGTTAAAGCAACAGCTTACTACAACTAGTAGTAGGTGAGGTGAGTGAGTCAGCTGGGTGAGTCGTTTCAACAAGTTTGCATTTCTTCCCACAGTCTACACCACTTCCTAATTGTTGAGGAAGGGACATTCTGTACTGCCTCTTCCTTCCCTGAAGACATTCCCTCAGCTGCCTCTTGTTGCTGCTCCTTGTGGTCATTCTCGCACGCTAGGTCGGCCATACGCGTATCAACAAACTTCTTTTCCTGAGGCAAAGTTCATAACTCAATTTGTATTTTATGAAGAAATTGGGCTTGTAACCCGAAAAGTTTGTAAAGAGTGGCATTCGTAAGCCAAGGTGTCACTGTAATATGGCCTGGGCTGACATTCAGTCATGGGCCTTTTGGAGGTTGAACAAGGTTCTGGCTGCATGGTACCTGGTTCATGTTCCTGGACTTTCTCGGGCATGTGTAGCCTTGGGTCACAGGTTGCAGCCAGTTGTCTCAGCTTTGAGTTGAGGTGGCCGCCTCCTGGGTAAGTCCCTCTTTTCCTTTATCTTTGGTTAGGTAGCTCTGGTGAGCTGAAGGGGCTCGCCACAGAAAACAAAAACAATTGAATGTAATGAAACGCCATTTTTGGGGTGATACCCGGAGGCTCCCCGGTATCCCTCCCTCCCTCCCTCCCTCCCTCTGGTCGGCATTTTTTTGCATTTTTGATGATATTCAGCCTCTGAACTGGGGTTGGGGTACCCAGCATGGAGGTCTGGGACCCCCCCCCACTCTCCCGGGGAGAGGGGGAATTGCACAGACAGCGGTGTGGCGGCTGTGGTGACGTCTGACCTGGTAGATGGCAGACTGACCTGTTTGAGTGTACCTCTCTGAAGGGGCCAGGTTCTGGTGCTGGTCCCTGGTAGGTCTAGAACTCCAGCGATTGACTGTTGCCATGGTCTAATATACTGTATACACATCAGCCCAGTATAGCTCCGAGGATCCTCTGGGTCTCACCCAGAAAATAGCGTTACATTACATTGAACGGTGTTTTTTTTTTATAACATTTTGCTATTAATGATACTGACTATAATGTTTGAGGTTTTACTATTTTTATATACATTTTTCTTGCAGATCACATGATTGGACTGAGCTCTCCCCAATTCTTAGACCACTTAGAAAGCAATAGTGGTGTATACTTGTACTGTTCTGCTATCACTGCTCGCTTTCTGCAGGCATCTATTAGACATCGACCTCTTGATCCGTTTGTGCGACCACTCCCTCCCGAGGAACCCATAAAGATTACTGTTCCCAATGTTGCAGAAGAAGCCAGTCACCAGCTTTGTGTCACCCTCATACCTGCAGGACATTGCCCTGGCTCAGTCATGTAAGATAAAATATATCTTTACTTCCTTTTACAGTACACTATGAGTTTTATTTCATTTGGAAGATTAAACGAATACCCGGCCACTGAATATTTAAAAAATTATTGTGTGTGCTGTACCTGTACATATTGTACAGTACTGAAATGCAAATTTTATTAAGCAGAATTAAATAAACAAAAAACTATACAGTATAAAAAAATTGTGATTGTATTTGTCGATGGTGCCATTTTTTGTTTTCTGCAAGTTAACAGTTTGAGGGTGCTGGCACATGTGCCACTAGCCCTGGGATACATTTTTTAAGAGATGTTTTGCTTGCTCTTTGTTTTCCAGTTTCGTATGTTAATATGTTTTACATAATTTATTTTGATGTTCATTTAATATATACTGTAGTACTGTATCTTAATATGAAGGTCTGTGTGTAGTTAAAAGAAAATGGCATTTTAAGTTTCTGTATTATCTTCTTGAAGTAATTACCTAAGTGCAGTTACAGGATGAGAGCTACGCTTGTGGTGTCCCGTCTTCCCAGCACTCTTTGTCATATGAGACTTTGAAACTACCAACTGTCTTGGCCTCCACCACCTTCTCGCCTAACTTGTTCCAACCGTCTACCACTGTTTGCGAAAGTGAATTTTCTTATATTTCTTCGGCATCTTTGTTTAGTTAGTGTAAATTTATGACCTCCCGTTCTTGAAGTTCCAGGTCTCGGGAAATCCTCCCTATCTATTTTATCAATTCCTGTTACTATTTTGTACGTAGTGATCCTATCTCCTCTTTTTCTTCTATCATCTAGCTTTGGCATATTTAATGCCTTTAACTTCTCCTCGTAGCTCTTGCCCTTCAGTTCTGGGAGCCACTTAGTAGCGTGTCTTTGCACCTTTTCCAGTTTGTTGATGTGCTTCTTAAGATATGGGCACCACACAACCACGGCATATTCTAGCTTTGGCCTAACAAAACTCGTAAACAATTTCTTTAGTATTTCTCCATCCATATATTTACAAGCAATTCTGAAGGTAGAAAGCGTGGCATAGGCTCCTCTCACAACGGTCTTTATATAGTCCTTGTATAGGTGATAGTTTTCTATTTAGAACCAACCCTAGATTGGATAGATAAACCAACCCTTTATCAGAATTCTTTAAAGATTTTCCACATAATTTATAGATTGTGTGGGGGTCGATGTTCTCCAATTCCACATTCCATAACATGGCAATTATTCACATTAAATTCCATTTGCCAAGTGTTGCTCCATATACTTATTTTGTTCAGGTCTTCTTGAAGGGCATGGCAATCATCTAAGTTTCTTATCTTCCCTATTATCTTAGCATCATCAGCAAACATGTTCATATAATTCTGTATTCCATCTGGTAGATCATTTATGTAGACAATGAACATTACCGGTGCAAGAACTGAACCCTGTGGTACTCAACTTGTGACATTTCACCAGTCCGATACATTGCCTCTGATTACTGCCCTCATTTTTCTATTAGTCAGAAAATTTTTCATCCATGTTAGAAGCTTACCTGTCACCCCTCCAATATTTGCCAGTTTCTAGAACAACCTCTTATGTGGAACTCCATCAAAAGCCTTTTTTAGGTCCAGATAGATGCAGTCAACCCAACTATCCCTTTCCTGTAAAATCTCTGTGGCTCGATCATAGAAACTGAGTAAATTCGATACACAGGATCTTCCAGATCAAAAGTCATACTGTCTGTCTGATATTATATCATTTCTCTCCAGGTGTTCTACTCATTTAGTTTTAATTATTTTTTCCAATATTCTGATTATTACACTTGTCAATAATACAGATCTATAATTGAGGGGGTCTTCCCTGCTGCCACTTTTGTAGATTTGGAACTATGTTAGCCTTTTTCAACACATCTGCTACGACTCCTGTACACAGGGATGTCTGAAAAATCAGCTGTAGTAGTATGCTGAGCTCAGGTGCACATTCTTTCAGAACCCATGGTGAAACAACATCTGGACCAACTGCTTTGTTCTTACTTAGCTCCTTGAGCATTTGTTTCACTTCGTCTCTAGACACCTCTATGTGCTTTATGTTGTTCTCTGGAATTTTTATTGTGTCTGGTTCCCTGAAGTTCTCATTTTATACAAACACACGTTGGAACTTTTCATTTAATGTTTCACACATTTCCTTTTCATTTTCCGTGTATCTGTCCCCCATTTTCAACCTCTGAATATTATCCTTTACCTGCAGCTTGCTTTTGATGAATTTATAGAAAAGGCCTGGATCTGATTTACATTTGTCTGCTATAACGTTCTCAAAGTTCCTCTCTGCCTCTCTCCTTACTGACGTGTAGTTATTTCTCACATCTTTGTATCGCTGGTGTGTTGGGGGTTTGGCCTCTTCCTATAATGATTCCATGCTTGTATCTTTTGATCTCTGGCCCTCTCACAATTTCTGTTGAACCATCCCTGTTTCCTATGTTTGCATCTCTGTTTTGGTTATGAATTTTTGTTTGCCTTCATTGTATGTTTTGCAAAATATGGCATACATCTCATTTTCTTGCCTAGCAACAAGTCCGTCCAATTATGTCCATGAATATTTTTTCTTAGTTCCCCATAGCGGACAAACACGTCACTCGCAGACAAAGTTAACGGCACTGGGTGCCTACTGTATGAACGCAAACTAGGTCTATACACCATGCAGTAGGCTGGTGTTTAAGCCAGATCCAGTAACAAATTTCTCTCAAATATTGGATTTACATCAAATTATATATTTTTGGGTTATATATTTAGTTCAGTAACATTACTGTATTAGGATAATAACAGATATAAAAAACTTATTTTAGAACTGATTTATTAATTTTATTATTTCGAGGCCATAGGTCACTGAACTGTGACGACGAAATCGAACGAAACACGCATGATGGTGTGTGTGTGTGTACGAGATTTAGACCCTGTCCCCTCATGCTGCAGTTGTTGTGTCAATAACATAAATCATTTCTCAAATAGCAGATGTCTATCATATTACAGTATATTTTCGATTTTATTTAGTTTAGTTTAATTAGGATAATAAAAAGATATTAAAACACTGGTTTTAGAAATGATTTATTAATCTGAAACTTTCAAAATCATGGGTCACTGAACAGTGACGACACAGACAAAGGAAAACTAAGTAAGGTTTACAGTACAGTATTCCCTTATCTGTCCACCCTCACTCGTCTTGTTTCATCACAGAAAATATCTATAAGGAGATTTTAACACTTGTAGCTCGCTAATCACGCTTCAGCCTTTAAATTAATTTATAAAAAAATCAGTGAACGAAAATCATGGAAACTCAGACGTTCACTTGTGTGGACCACTCTGGCTGGTGTTTGGTTAATATGGTCCACTTGTGTGATCCAACTTGTCTTATGAAGGAATTATTAATTGGAATCTGTGATGGAATCTGTGATAGAATGAGAGTTTTTCACCACTCTGTGAATTCTGTCCCAACATTATAAGTGTGAGATTATCCCTTTTTAGGGGTGAATAGGTTACAAGAAACCTCAGTCAGGAAAGGACTGAACTAGCACCAAACAAATGCTGAGGGCAGATTATACTTTAATGACTGACCAGGGATGCATAGAGCAGCTGCAGGAGTCCAAATCCTTGGCACTCCTTATCCACTAGGTCGCCGAGCTTCTAGGGGCCTCGGAGGGAGGTCATCAGAGTAGCTCAAATGGTCCTCACACCAAATAGTATTTGATGTGTGTGGCCATGAACGCAGTTCAAATCCAAGTAATCCAGGCAACATAAAAAAGATCTCGTTAATAACAGAAATAATGGGAAAGTCAATACTGGATACAAGGGGTCTGAAGGTGTGAACGCAAAGACACTTGTATTTAACAATTAGTTTCTTCATAAAACTTAATGCTAACAGTACATGGCAAGAACAATCTGATGTTATGTTAATGTCTGACGTGGTGCTTGACAAGGCTAAACTACCCGGAACAATTGCTTCCGGTTCGGACCGCTCGCGGTATCGCTGACTCTGTCTACTCTTAACAATAGTGGGCAGACGAAATGGCAGCTTGACGAGACTGCAGAAAGTAGCAATAACATACAATGAAAGACAACGGCCTACGTTGATGCCAGATGTGAATCTGGGATCAATGAGGGGTGATTATAGTTGCAACATTGCACGGCCCCACGTTGGTGCCAGATGCGAGATCCGTGGCCAGCGTGGGGTGATTGATGACTGAACAACAACAACTGACAGACTTGTCACTGAGACGAGTCTTCCGTGCAACACTTAATTGATTACATTGCTTTAACCACTTAACTGCGCCAGCCGAGTATTCTCGGTCGGCGGGAAACTGCGCCAACCGAGAAAACAATTTTTTATTTTTCGGTACCAATTCTAAATGTGTATGAGGTTGGTTGTGTATGAAATGGACTCTTAGGACCTCCAGTGAGAGGCAGCCATCTTGGAAAAAATTCCAAGAATGCCCTAGGGCTGCTGGCTAGGTTAGTACTGAATGAGCGACCACATTACGTTGCTCGTTACGCAACCACGTTACGTTGCTCTCCAGTTCGTAAGCTAATGTCAACCAGGATAGACGCTTCTCTGGCCTCAGTTTCCTAGGTGGTGTTTGCCTTCGTGGCACTCACTGCTGTGTTTTGTGTTGTGCGGTGGCCAGGTGTTCCTCATCAGTACCGGGGCTGCATGCGCTTAGGGGCTTCCTTCCCTAAGCGCCCAGTGAGTACTGCCCCTGCGTGTCAGGGTTATCTTCCCTGGGGCGTTCGGGAACCATTCCTGTAGAGGTTCTTGCTGCTTGGCATTTGCCTCGCCCTTGGGGCCAGCTGGGGTTTGCAGCCCTTGTCTGGCCTTGGGTAGGGACTGGTATTGTGCTGGTTAGGGCATCAAGGTGTTGCGTAATCTGCTGCCTACGCGGCGACTGGTTCCTTTTGCCTCTGGGAACGGTGTACTTTTGCGGGGTTTTTCTTTTGTTTTTATTTTCATTTGCCATGTAGGGGTCTGCCTAGTGTGGCTATAGTTCCA